ATAGGAGTTTTAAAAGATAACAGAATCAACTAAGATCTGAAAATCCTAGTTTTAAGTAAACACAAATTGATAGAGCAATAAAGGCAAATGATTATTTGCTTTAATAAAAGAACATAGACAGGGAGTTATTGAAGAAAACAAAAGATTTGAACCAAACCCGGTTCGATTAAAGAAGGTTAAAACCCTAGTTTAGGTAAGTAAAAGATTTAACGAAAAATAGGCAAATTTCTAAGTGACAAAGTGAATACAGACGAAAAATAACATTAACAAACTAAATTTGAACCAAATTTGGTTCGAATCAAAGATCTGAAAACCCTAACTTTAGGGTAAAATGAAGAATCGGGAGAATCTCAGAGATTCTTACCATAAGAGACGAAGAATGAATATAGAAGGGAAGAAAATGAGAGTTCGAAACAGATTCGGTCCAAAGTGAGGGAGATCGGCTTGCCATATTAGGCAAGCTATTAGGTTATACCATAATCGAGTAGCCAGTAGCGAGATAAGATCGATAAGGTAAGAAAATCACCAAGAAATTCCATATCTGGTTGGAATCAAAGGGGAATTGGAGGGATTTTAGGTGACGGCGCCTAGGGTTTCAAAGAGAAAGAGGAGGGAGACGAGAGCGATTAAGGGCGGCGGGTCAGTGAGAATGATTAGGGTTAAGTGGGGTTTGGTTAGTTAAAACGGGCAGGGGTAATGGTGTGGGTTTGGGTCCAAAATTGGTTGCAATTTGAGGCCAAATTTTAAATACCCAAATTAAATTAGTAAATTATTTGTAAAAAAAATAATAAATAAATAATTAAAATGTCATTTATGCATGAAAAATGATTTAAAATTATTACTTAACATTATAAAAATATAAAAGCCATTTTTATGTAAATAATATAATTATGCATACATATGGGCTATTATTTTAAAATATGCAATTGTAGCCTAAAGATGCAAAAATAAATATATATAAAACTATTAAAGCTTAATATGGATATAAATGATGAAACATTAGATAATAAATTATTATAAAATTATTTGTGATGCAGTTAATAATTATTTATATAAAAATGCAGGAATAAATTGATTAAAAGCCTTTAAAATTATAGAAAATTGTGGAAAAAATACTTGGTGATGCTCATGCACTATTTTGAAGATATATATGCATATTTGAAATATATGAGGAAAAAATTGGGCATCAACACATAAAATGTTGTAGTGAGACTATTTTTACATGACTATTTCTTCTTCCAGTTACTATGCTTAGGCTAAAGTCTTCTTCCATGTTTTCTCAGCTAGTCTTTCATTGTAGTACTTAGGGAGGATCCTCTGACTCTTGTAAGACTGCGAGCTTATTATATCGCATATTCGACGGAATTTTTGATGTCCTTCCTCGCCTATAATTATCCATAGTTACTTACCTCCACGCCCTTTTGCTTGTAGGGCTGCTTCTAAACTGATATTTTGAATGTATTCCCAGTGGCACTCTCTTTTGTTTCAGTAATACTCATACTATACCTTTAACTACTCCAACTCTTATCTGAATATTTCTCAAGGGTCACGATGTCATAATTGCAAGGCTGAATTCCCTACATTGGGGTTCCCTGTGTTTAGATCTGTTGATTTGTCTGTATCCTCTTGTCTGGCCATAGCTAGGATCTTTCTGAATCAACTACTAACTACTCGTTGGCCCATTCTCTTATTAATATTCCGCAAAATGTTTCTTGGGTTATTTCCTTTGTCTTAACTTACCTCTCGCACTGGCTCCTCATTTATCCATTACACCCTGGGCAGGAACCCTTACTTCCTTTCCTTAACGTCGTGGTTACATAATGTTCTGGAATTGTAGCATATCTATAGGCTTTGAACAAGTGCAATATCATCCCTTTCTCATTTTTATCGCATTCTTCCTTTACCATTTCGTAGTTACTAGAACCACTTAATTCTGACTTAATGCCACATCATTCCGTATTCCCCTCTTTAGGGGAGTACTAAGAGTTGGAGCCACGACGATCCACCTATAGATGTTTTACCTTTTCGTCTTTGGCGTCTTTTCACATCATCGATGACCCATCCTCGCCTTGTGGTAATCCTTCTATACCAAGGATAACAAAATTCCCTAGTCATGAGGGTGACACTTAGTATAACTGGCACATGCCGTCCCTTAAGCTTAACTTTGCTCACATTGCTTGCTTTAGAGAAGCGTCTTCCTGAATGACCATTCCCTGAATTTCTCCTGAATCTTCTTCTGTTGTCCCTTATATTACCGGTGGAACAAAATTTGAAATTCTCATGATGCCGACTATTATCAAATCACTCAGTCCCTAATTCATGTTTTGTTTATCTTGTTCACTAGCCCATACTAATTTTTATTACTCCGGAGTCTATCTTTTCCTTCTGGTATTCGCGTTGGAGTCACGGACTTATTTCTTGAAATGAGGATATGACTTTATGGCCTATATTCTTTTGTTATCTCAAGGCCTGTCACATCTCGTCTTTTCCTTCACTTGACTATAGACTCTGTAATACTATCATCTTTTTTATCTACCCTTGTCATCCATGTATCACATCTTACTTATAATGCTTCATTAACTCTTTTCTTATTTCTTGCTGACATTATTGTCTATCACTTTATTTTGAAAATTTCAACAGGACATTGTTTTTCTTTTAGCTCCCCTTGCTCCATCTACTGGCTCTTCGGGTTGCCTAACATTCTTTCTTTACCCGGGACGGAAGCCACACTAAGGTAATATTTATCCCTTTCAAGGATTCCAGTGCCTATCTCTGTAGTACTCATATGTAACTGTACTATTTTAGAGTACAAATAGGACCTTTGGCGGCAATTATTTAGCGGCAATAAGGCAATGGTCACTAATAAATTCTTTAAGCTTAAATATTAGCGGCATATGACCATTAGCCAGTAAAAGATATCCTTTTACCGGCAATAAAAAATAATAGCCACTAAAAATTACTAATTGTAATTAATCTTTTATTATTTTAACTTTCCCTCCGCACAAAGAAGAGAAAATCTTTCCCTCCAATTTTTTTGATACCTTTTTTCGTTTCCCTCCCCAATTAGAATTAGAAAATAATTAGAAAATAACAGAAGGAAAACATTGAATCGTTTCCCTTACTAGTTGAATCGACTTCGCGGAAAAAGCCCTAGCTAATTCGCTACTCCATCAACGCCAGTGCGCGGAAACGCTGCATCAATGCCAGTGTGCCCTAGCTAATTCGCTGCTGCATCAACGCCAGTGCACGAAAACGCCTGTGCGATTCACAGTGCATCAACGATTGTGCACATCTTCTTCCCAGGTAAATTCTCTTCTCTTCGATTTTACAATTGATTTACAGAAGATCAGTTCAATTGATTTACAGAAGACAGTGCGTTAATGGCAGTGTTAACTTCTCTTCGTCTAATCAATTTACAGTAGATTTACAGTAAATCAGTTCCTTGCAATCGATTTATAGTAGATTTTGTATTGATGCTGGTCGATTGATTTACAGCAAATCAGTTCCTAACTCGTTGTTGCGTCAACAACCTGTTGTAGTGCCAGTCCATCTTCTTCCCATGTTAACTTCTCTTTTTCCCCTGTTAAATTAGTCGACTGCAATCGATTTACAGTAGATTTTGGATTGATGCTTGTCGGTTGATTTACAATAGATTCTGTGTAATTTAATCTAGTAAAAGTCATGTTATATGGCTGTTCTTAGTATTTGTTTGGTCTATATTTCTTGTCCAATGAAATCTGCATTCTGTAGATATTGCAAAAATAAGAATCAAACAGTGTTCTGCTGTAACTATCACTGCCTAGCGCCAAAACACAATGCTCCAATGTCTGCATTGCAATTTTCCTATGTGTTGTGAGCTTTTGTCTTCTCTAGTTTATTTGCATATGCTAAGTAGTTTGTGATAACGGGCTGCTGTTAAATTGATGGGCGATTGGTTGAGTTTATTCCTCCTCTGTTCCTCTACTATTTTATGAATTGATTCCTCTATATATTTTCTAAGGCTACTGTTATTCTTGCGACTATTCAGAAATTTTTTAAGTGTCGTCGATGCATATTGATGTTTTCATTGAATCTACCACTAGTCGGGATATGAATCTACTAGTCGACATACATACTGTTTTTTATTTTTGCTAATTGATGCGAGCTTTTCTTATTTTTATAAATTTGATGCCTCTGTACGAAATAAGCATATGCTCAGCTTGACTGATTTGTTCTTTTTGCTCTAACTGTTTCTCCGATAGGTTATTGGTTTTACTAATCAAAAAGTTTTTCAATTCATCTAACAATCTACACTTCAATTTTCACTATGAGTGCGGCAAAACAGTGAAGTTAAGAAAAATTATCAAAAGAATAAATCATTTGTGAAGTGAAGAAAGAAGTTGGACCATGAGAAAAATTTGAACTATCAGCTTTTTTCTGCTTTACTTAGAGATTGTAGTACAATAGTTCATCATCATTTTTAAGGGATGATAACACATTATACTTCAAGAAAATAATGTATGCCTTTGAATGACCTCATTCAGATTTCAAAAATTGCAAATTGCTGCATCATTGCTGAAATTTGCAAATTATTCAGCTAGCTCATATCCATATACAGTGAGGGTTTGACAATTGTAATATCTTCAATTTTAAAATATATGACGTATGGTACTTCTATAATTTATAACTAATAATTCTATTCTTAAAAAGTTTACGAACAAATATATGAAAACCATAGAAGAAGCATAATTTATAAGTTTAATAATTCTATTCTTAAAAAGTTTATGAACCAATATATGGAAACCATAGAAGAAATTAGAGATAGTTTAACTATTTGATAGTTTTAATGGATTTCTGTTTGATAGTTTTAATTCTTAAAATGATATCTTCGAGCTATGGAATTACCTACTAATAAGATGGTTATTTTATTTGAACTATATTTTTTATTAATTTCCTCTTTTTACCAATGAATTTTTAGCTCTTGTAGTAAGTATAGAACAAAAAAGAATATCTTAAATGTCATGGACAATCCTAGAAATAAAAGATGGATGCATTGTGATAGATTTAGTAAAGAATATTTGGATGGAGTAGAGGAGTTTATAAACCATGCCTTTTCTGAAAAACAAGATGGAGAACAAATTGCATGTCCTTGTACGGAGTGTGTGCTTATCCATCAAGTAAACCGGACTACAGCATATGATCATCTTGTGATTAATGGTATTATGCCATCATATGATACTTGGTTTTGTCATGGTGAGTCTCTAAAGGGATCAAACAATGCTCAAGCAAATAATCGCAGCCAGTCAACTTTAAGGGGCTATGATATGACAGGAATGATACATGATGCCTTTGGAGGCTTTACACAGTTCATGGATACTGACGTTAGTGAAGGGGGTGACATAGAGCATAACTTACAAGAGAATACTGCTCATCCATCTGGAAATCAACCGCATCCAGAGGTGGATAAGTTTGAACGGCTCATGAAGGAGGCAAATGAAGAACTATATCCAGGATGTAAGAAATTTAGCAAAATGTCCTTTTTGATGCATCTGTACCGTACAAAATGCATGTTCAAATGGTCAAATGAATCGTTTAATGATTTGCTTGGACTATTGAAGGATGTGCTGCCTGAAGGAGAAAAATTGCCTCCTTCTTTCTATGAGACCAAAAAGATAGTTGAAGGCTTGGGCTTAAAGTATGAGAAAATTCATGCTTGTCCCAATGATTGCTTGCTTTTTAGGAAAGAGTTTGCTAATAAGAATGTCAGTAAATGCAATGTTTGTGGAGCTTCTAGATGGAAAAATGATGCTAGAAATATCCCAGCCAAGGTCATAAGGTATTTTCCTTTAAAACCAAGGCTACAAAGACTGTTTATATCTTCGAAAACTTCTAAAGCAATGCGTTGGCATCATGAAGAGCGCAACAAAGATATAGTTCTACGACATCCTGCAGATTCTGAAGCTTGGAAAAAATTTGATAGTAAATATCCCGAATTTGCTGGAGACCCTCGCAATGTGCGCCTAGGATTAGCTTCTGATGGGTTTAATCAATTTGGCACAATGCGAATTGTTCATAGTACATGGCCAGTGATTTTGATGCCATATAATCTTCCTCCATGGATGTGCATGAAACAAGAGTTCTTCATTCTGTCCTTACTTATTGCTGGACCCAAAGCGCCTGGCAATAATATCGATGTATTTTTGCAATCTCTAATAGAAGAGTTAAATGAATTATGGGATGTTGGGGTAGAAACATACGATGCCTCTACTAAGGAGATATTTCAAATGCGAGCAGCTCTCATGTGGACTATAAATGACTTTCCTGCATATGGTACTCTCTCTGGATGGTGCACTTATGGTCGGTTTGCATGCCCTTCTTGTAACATAAACACTCAATCTAGAAGGCTGAAACATGGCAGAAAGTTTTGTTACATGGGGCATCGACGCTTCTTGAAGTCGGGACACAAATATCGGAATGATGCGAAATCATTTGATGGGACTAAAGAAACAAGACCTGCACCTTCTCCAGTATCTGGGTCAGTAGTGCTGAATCAAGTTAAAGATATAAAATTTACTCTCGGCCGGTCAAGTGAAGGGGTAAGTGGGGTGATGAAAAACACATGGAAAAAGAGAAGTATTTTTTACGATCTTCCTTATTGGAAATTTAACTTGGTGCGCCATAATCTTGATGTGATGCACATAGAAAAGAATGTGTGCGATAACTTAATTTATACACTATTGAATCTTGGTAAAAAGTCTAAAGACAACTTAGAAGCTCGATTGGACTTGAAGGAGATGAAAATAAGACCAAGCTTATAGCCTCAATATCGAGCTAGTGGGAGAGCATATCTTCCTGCTACTTTTTTCACAATGTCTCAGCAGGAAAAGGAGTTATTTTATGAAGTACTACAAAATGCCAAGTTTCCAGATGGCTATGCGTCTAATATTTCACGTTGCGTTCGCAAACGAAAGTTATCTGGGCTAAAAACTCACGATTGTCATGTTATAATGCAAGAACTTCTTCCTCTTGCCTTGCGGAGATCAGTAGATAAAAGAGTAAGTTCAATTTTAATTGAACTATGCACATTCTTTCGTGTTTTGTGTAGCAAAAAGCTAAAACTAGAAGAGTTAAACCTACTTGAAGAAAAAATCCCAGAAACATTGTCTACTATGGAGAAACTCTTCCTCCCAGGATTCTTTACTGTTATGATACACTTGGTTATTCACTTGGCAACTGAGGCTAAACATGCGGGACCAGTACATTATCGCTGGATGTATCCAATTGAGAGGTATGTAGAATATCACTGAATCATTGTTATATGTCTTTAGTTGTTAAATACTCTAATATCAAACTAATAACATTACTTTTTTCCATAGGTATTTGGGTACTTTAAAATCATATGTTCGTAATCGTGCATGTCCAGAAGGTTCAATAGCAGAAGCATACATAGCAAATGAGTGTATGGCATTCTGCTCACGATATTTAGAGGGTAGAGATTCAATGTCTTATTGTTCAAGAAAATGGAGTGATGAAATTGAGCATGAGACTAATAAAGAAGAATCTCTTTTTCCTACTGTTGGGGAGTCGTACGGTAGAGTAGATGTATTTGAGTTGGATGACAAAACATGGTTGCAAGCACATCGGCATGTGCTTTTTCAATTGTGAATNNATTTGTTTGAGCTGAGAATTATTGTCTTTACTGATGCCTGAGGGGCTTGTGATTATTTTTGGACTGATTGAGGCCGAGGGCCATATGTGAGGATATGTCGAGTGATGTGAGGAGGCTTTCAGGCCTCGAGTGATATTTGAGGAGGTTTTCAGGCCTCGAGTGTATTGTGAGAAGGCTTTCAGGCCTCATGTTGATATGTACAGGCTTTCAGGCCTTATGATGATATAGCGCTTGGGCTGTAGGAGCCCCTCCGGAGTCTGCACACCCACAGTGAGCGCGGTACCCATTTAGAATTGGACAGTGGTAACAATGACACTGTCACACGTGTTTTGGTCAAGTAACAATGACTGACCAGTCAGGTAACAATGGCTGACCAGTGGTAACAATGGCACTGAAACACACGTTGGGTCAGGTAACAATGGCTGACCGGTCAGGTAACAATGACTCACCATACTTGAGCATACTTGTTTTATTAATTGTTTTCAAAGAGAATTTCTTGCTATGTTTCACTGGTCCCTACTTTTTACTTGATTTTATTGTTTGAGATAGCATTATCTGTGCCTGTGTGGGATTTTATATTCTCAGCCGTTATTCATTTTTATTGCTCACTGGGTTGGAGTACTCACTTTACTCCCTGCACCTCGCGCGCAGATGCAGGTATTGTTCACCCGTTAGTGGGTTTTGAGCTGGTTGAAGGTATTGCTATCGTAGCTGAGCAGAGTGACCGCCGGCGTTCACGGCACCGGATTACTTCCTTTGGTTCTAAATTTTATTCCATATATTTGGCCTTGTAGTTGTATTTAGACTTCTCTAGATGCTCGTGACTTGTGACACCCCGGTCGGGTTGTGTTGGGTTGTAAATACTGGTTAGTATTGTCGTTAAGCTGTATTTATCTATTCATTTATGTTTAATAATTGTTAAAGAGACGATTTGGGTTAGTTGGCTGGCCTTGTCTTCACGAGAGGCGCCATCACGACCGGGTTGGAAATTGGGTCGTGACAACCCCTAACCCTAATCACTTTACACCCCCCGCCGTCCCAAAACATTCTCGTCTCTCACCTCTCAAAACCCTAGCGCCGTCACTCAAATCTCTCCGATTCCAACCCCAAAAATGGAATCAATCCATGATTCCTTACCTTATTTGGCCCCTTCTCCTTACTGGCTACCCGTTTTTTATATTACATAATGGCTTGCCTAGAATAGCAAGCAAATCTGGCAAAAATCGAACCAAATCTGGTTCAAAATCTTTAACCTGTTGCTTATTACGTCTGTGTTCATCATTTTTTGATCTTTGAAAGTACGAATCTTTCTGTATCTCTCACTGATTCGACTTAACCCTAAGGTTATGTTTCAGATCTTCTTTAATTGAACCAAATCTGGTTAGATTTTATGTTTCTTCTGAATAACCTCCTGTCTATGTTCATTCTATTAAAATTTATGAACCTCTGCCTTTATTTTTATCGATTTTATGGTTTACCTAAAATAAGGGTTCAGATCTTTCTAAATCTAATCTGGTTCTTGATTTTTTAATTTTTTTTCTCTTAATCTTTCTGTCTATATGTCTCTGTGCATCTTATTATAACTCTTTTCGTTAATTTCTGACTAATTTTTACTTACCCTAAATTAGGGATTGTTGACTCTGCAAAATCAAACCAAATCTGTTTGATTCTTTAATTATTGTGTTAAAATCTCTGTCTATATGCCTATATGCATCTCTATGCTTGTTATTACTGTCATTTTGTATATTTTACCTAAAACTAGGGTTTGAGACTTTTACTTTTTCCTTTCTCGTATGGTACTGATACTTTCTTTATTCCCAGTCAATCTACCATGCTTCTATTATTGCTTACCTTATTTGCCGTGAGATTGACTGTTAATTGATACGCTATTATGCTCTGTTAACTTACTGAACTCTATACAATTGATTCTGGGTTTAATTTCTTTCCTTATTTGTGTATGTTTGATTCCTTCCCTTATTTGTTTGCCTAATTGAATACTATTTAAACCCTTTCCCCTCTCCCCTTTGAACAAGACTCGAACTCTATAGGCTCGCACAAAAAATTTAAAGTTTCTGGTTCTATACTCTCTCTGTTCTCTCTCTTACTACTGGTCTTGACCGGCTGAAAGCCAAGGCCAAACAAACTGGACTCTCAACTTTGTGGTATTATTCTGGTTTTGCTCGCTTAACTGGTGAGTGACTATCCTTTGTCATACCATTTTTATGTGTTCCTGATCTGTGTTTATAACCCAACATGTCTAAGATCCCTCCCTAAGCATGATTTTGCCTGTTTACGTGCTTTTCTTTTAATCCAATGGTTAACATTGTTAATTTTTAGATTATTTGTTTTGAATAATATGAATCCTCTTAAAAACTAGCCTAATGTTTAACTTGTCCATGCACACTGCTTGCTAATCCTGCACCTGTTCTGAACTTTGCATTTTTAGGGTACTATCAAAATGTAATTAGTTAATCTATCCCAACTTTACAGATTAGTTACTTAATTCATATGCCCTGTCAATTTATTGCTAACATGTCTGGTATCCCTCTGAATTCATGTGATAACATGACTGTTTTGCCTAATTGCTTCTATGATTAAATAAGGTTGTCCTAAATGCTAGCATTGAATACCTAGCTTAACTAGACTGTTAACCAGACTTCAACTCATTTGAATTGTGTGTTTGAGCATGAACCTTGCTTGTTTTCTGAGTGTGTGGTTCTGGTGTGAGCATTGCCCTGGGTCCCTGAGGCCTTTGGGAACTTTGACACATTGGAAACCTGGTTCTACATGTGTTATGGGTGAGACATTCGTATTTAGGCATGATGTACCTATGAATTGAGCCTCGAAAGTTGATTGGTTTGAAGGCCTGGTTCCCAGATTTATTTGGGCCTAATGAAGGATACCTATAGTGTATCTTATTACCGTTATGTAACTCATTCATTATTTGGTCTGTAATAACTTTGTAATAAACAAATTCTAGGTATTTAGTAAAACCGGGGGAGGGGGGGATTTCTTATTTCCTTTTGTTAAACTGGGTAGAAATCCTGCCTATAGGGACTCATCTATGTTATTAATTCTGCTCATTCGTCAAAACTGTTAAATTCTGCAATGTGTTTTAGAAATCCTGCCTATAGGACTTCGGGTGATGTTGATTCTGAGTTCTATATTTGCATATTAGCAAGCCTGCCTATAGGATTATATTTGCATATTAGAAATTATGCCTATAGGTTGCATTAATTTGTCCAATAAATATGTGTTAGCAATCATGCCTACAGGACCTCAATGTTTGATTTAATTGTTTTTCTGGTAACATGTACAACTTCTGCCCATATTACTGCTCAATAGATATCATGCCTGTAGGACTAAAAACTAAAATCAGTTTCAAACCTAGAGATCATGCCTATAGGATTTAAATCAATCCAGTAACAGATACCATGCCTATAGGATTAAGATCAGTTTCAAACCTAGAGATCATGCCTATAGGATTTAAGTCAGTTCGACATTAGAAATCATGCCTATAGGATTCTATTAATTGGTTCTGAATATAATCGCCACTGTCAATCACTTAGACAATATGCCTATAGGACTTGATAATAATTTCGGATTCTGTGAGCATTATTGTTTGAAGTACCCAGACGATATTCATTAAAACCAGTAGGCAAACAGTAGGTCCTGACACTCGCCTTAATGAAATTGTTTCTGTACATCTGTTTTCTCACATAGATATCCCGCCTGTAGGATATTAAGATCGATAAAGATTGTTAGTTAATTGCGTGCATTTGCTGTTTATGTGCAGAGGTTAACATGAGCCCATATTTGCTTTGTATTTGCAAGTCCTAACATGTTTTGTTTGTCGCCTAGTCTTTTACATTTTTTGAGCAACCCAGGCTTAGTCTAGAACTATCCCAAATAGAGGTCATAATACCTCCATGGCCATAGACAACGGGCGGGTAGTGCATGCATAGGAATCAAACTAGAATCAATTAGAGCGCTTTAGGTAACAACTTAAAAATAGTAATCGGGTAGCCGGAGATGATAGTCTGTGCCCGCTGAATAATATGAGTAACACCCCGACTCGAGGGAGTTACGAAGTATTATTTATGTTGCACGGGGTGATCCTTTAGGCTAAAAAATTTAGGGCCCCCCATCCCTATTAAGTGATTCTGTAGCTTCTTTATTAGACTAATTCATAAATTAAGTTCAACCGGGACCCACCGTTGTGGACCTCGAGGGGTGCCTAACACCTCCTCCTCAAGGTAATTTCGAGCCTTTACCCGATCTCTGGTGACGCAAACTGGTATAACATGAGTTATCTGGTGTAGGTGTCCTAACACACCTTAATCCGTTAGGTGGCGACTCTAACTAATTCCTTTTTCCCTACTCTCTCAAAGGAGTCATCAAAATGTCGAAACCCGATTTCGCGAGAAAGGGGGGCGCGACAGCATGGCAACTCTGCTGGGGATATCTTTAGGCTCTTACCGTTATGAACTTGATCTACATGAATTAGTCTTTCTCGATAAGCGTATGTTTGTTGTTTTGCTCTTATTTGCCACATGCACATCCTTTTCCCTATTTCCCCTTTATATGAACTCACATACAATTCTTTGTGTGTTTCCTCTTATTTCCTAATCATGTTCCCGACTTTTAATTTTGCTATATCATGTCTCTCCCCAATCCTTACCCCCTTTATTTGCTTTATCAATTCCTTCATTTCACAAATTAACTTCTTCCCTGTTTTTCTTTCCTTTATGCCTTTACGTTTATTCAATACCGTATTTATTTTCAAAACATGTGAAAATACTTGACAATGTGTTATTTTTCCTTTTACATAATGCATGCTCAACATCATATTCCACTCGTGCGTACTAATACCATAGCGGCACTTGATGAGTGTCCACGCTCTTCCTAAAATCACCCTTTAAATTTGGAAAGGTTTATTTGCGGTAAAACTAGTCGATCACCGGTGCAGTCGACAGTTCCGTGCCTTTCCCTCTCG